TGCTGCAGCCCTTGGGCATGAACCTCTTGTGCCCCTCTGGCAAGATGTTCTGCTCCTGGACTAGCGGGGTGATTCTGTCCCCTACTCTCTCTGCAGGACTGCAGCTGCAGAATTTCACCCCAGGCCTGTATGCCAGGCCTGAGTTGAGTCTGGAGGGGACAAGGTGGAGTAGGGGAGAGGGGAAGCTCTCCCACACACTCACTGGGCCTGTTCTAGGGCTGGATCTGGGGGTCCAGAGAATGCGGCAGTTTTCACCCACTCAGCGGGCGGGGATGGGGGAGCTGCAGAGCAGGGGTGGTCCCAAGGGCATGGAAGAGGCTCTCATGCTCCGTGCCTGGGTTTAGACCAGACAGGTCCCGCAGGCACAGGGTAGCTGGAAGCTCTCCCACATGCTCACCGAGCCTGGGCTAGGGCTGGATCTGGGGCATGGGGGAGTGGAGCTGCAGAGTGGTGAGGGTGTCCCAGGGGCACAGAAGAGGGTCTCACTCTGTTGGTAAGTTTTTAATTATATCTTCAATTTCATTGGCTACTGGTGCTTTTTTTATTTTTTTTATTTTTGCGGTACAGGAGACCCTGCGCTTGCCAGGCAAATGCTTATTCTATTGAGCTGTCTCCCCAGCCCTTACTGGTGATTTTATATTGTCTTGATTCAGTTTTGGTAATTCATTTGTATCTAGGAATCTGTCCATTTCTTCTGCGTTTTCCATCTTATTAAAATACAGGTTCTGCAAGTAGGTACAGATGATCTGGATTTCTGCAGGGTCTGTTGTGATTCACCCTTTTCATTGCTAATTGCATGGATTTGAGCCTTTTCTTTCCTTTTTTCATAAGGTTGGCAAGGGATTTATCAATTTTATTTAATCTTTCAAAGAAGCAACTCTTTGATCCATTGATTCTTTGTGTTGTTTTCTTAGTCTCCATTGCATTAATTTCTGTACTGACCTTTATAATTTCCTCCTCATATGAGCTTGAGCTTGTTCTACTCTTCCTTTTCTAGAAAAATAAGGTTCCACATTAAGTTGTTTATCTGAGCTTGCTCTTTTCCTGACATGGGTTTTTACCGCTATCTATAAGTTTCCCTCATCAAACTGCTTTCATTGTGTCCCATAAATTGTGGTATTTTTACTGCCATTATCATTTAATTGTAGAAAGTGTCTGTATTGTTCTTTAATTTCATCTTCAACCCATTGGTTGTTCAGGAGAATGTTACTCAGTTTCCATTATGAAGTTCTTGTGATTTCTTTTGCCAATGATTTCCCATTTTGTTGCACTGTGGTCTGATAATATTCATGGGATGATTCCCGTTCCTTTGCATTTACGTAGGCATGTTCTGTGTATGAGCTACTATGTGCTCTGTTTTGTAGAAAGTCCCATGTACAGCTGAGAAGAATACATATTCTGATGTTATGGGGTGGAACACTCTGTAGATATCTACTAGTCCATTTATTCAAAAGTTTCATTAAGTTCTAATATTTTATTGTTGATTTTTTTGTCTAGATGTCCCGTCTATTTGTGACTGTGGGGTATTGAGGCCCCCCAATACATTTGTGCTCATGCTTATTTGATTTTCATGTCTATTAATATTTGTTTTATATAGTCAGGTGCATTGGTATTTATTGTGTATATATTTATAATTATTATCTCTTCTTCTTGGATTGTTCCCTTTACAAGGAGGTGGTGACATTCTTTGTCTTTCTCAGCCTGTCTTAGCTGGAAGTCTACTCTGCAAATACAGTAGCTACCCTTGCTATTTCTCAGGTTCTTATAGCATGGAGTATTGTTTTCTACTCTTTGACTTTCAGTCTATGGTCTTCTTTTTGGATTAAATGTTTCATGTATGCAGCATATTGTTGAATCTTGCTTCCTGATCCATTCTGCTAGTCTTTTTTCTTTTGATTAATGAATGGAGACCATTAACATTAGTGGTTATAACTGATATGTATTAACTAACCTTGTCATATTATTTTCCAGTTGCTCGCCCCTTCTCTCCCCGTCCTCCCCATTTAATTGCTCGCCTTGTCTGGTGGATTCCTTCTCTTGGAGCTTTTGAAGTTATAATCCTTGTTATCTCTCTCTAAAATATCCTTCGAGTCATGTTGGAGTGCTGGTTTGGTGTTCATGAATTTCTTCAGGTGTTCTTTGTCATGAAAGTATTTTATTTCTCCATCTATTTTGAAAGATAGTTTACAGGGGGCTGGTGAGATGGCTCAGTGGTCTAAAGCACCTACTTAGAACAAGCTAAACAAAAACGCAGCAACCTGGGTTCAATCCCCAGCACCACATGCCAGCCAGCCCCGCCCCCTGGTGTGCTGAGCTGGCCACACACACACTAAATAAATAAAAAAATAAAATTTAAAAAAAAAAAAAAAAAGAAAGATAGTTTACAGATACATCAACCTGGTTTGAAGGTTGTTTCTTTTTAGGGCTTGAAGTACTTTGCTCCAACCTCTCCTTGTTTTGAGGTTTTTATTGAGAAGTTACTGTTATATTAGTCATGGTTTTACTAGAGGAACAGATATAATGCAAGATGTACAAATGTATAAGAAATTACAAGATTGGCTATGACAGTCAGCTGCAGAGTCAGATGGGGAAGCGTGCCGAGGGCATCTGCACACCCAAGACTGAAGGATTCAGTCCAAAGGTCTGGAACTCACTGCAGTATTCTGTGTAAGTCTGTATCAGTCAGCTGATAGGTCTGTGACAAAAGGGGTGGAAGGCTGATGAGTCTGTGACAGCAAGCTGAAGGACCCAAGCCGGAGGCCTAAGAGTCTGCACTGGAAGCCAGGAGAAGATGTCTAAGCTGACTGCAAAGACTGAAGTTCCTCCTCCGAGGAAGTGGAACATGGAATCCTTCCTCAGCCCAAAGCTTTATATACCCATTTGTGCTGAGTCATTCTGGGATGGGCCCTCCCCGCCCTAGGGCAGGGCCCCCGTGGCCCAGGAAGTGGAACCACATAGGAGATCCAGCCATGGTGACACAATGTATGGACCACTACACCTGTGATTCTGCTGAGCTTTCTTTTATAGGTTCTTTGTTTGTTTTCTCTAACTGCTTTTCATATTCTATTCTTGTGTTGAATTTTTGGAATTTTCACTATTATATGACTTGCTGTAAATTTTTTTATCATGGCTAATTGGAGTTCTGTGTTCCTCATTTATCTGTCAGGTGTCTAATTCTGTTTCCCTGCAGGCAGGTTTTCTGCAATGACATTTGTGAACAGATTTTTTTTTGTCATTGCTTTTACATTGGCTCCAATCAATCATATGTTATTCTTCTTTGTATCAACAAGCAGCTGCTGGGCTATATCATTTGTTTTGTTTGTTTTTTTTGCGGAACCGGGGATTGAACTCAGGCCCTTGCGCTTGCCAGGGAAGCGCTTATTCCACTGAGCCATCTCCCTGGCCCCTGGGCTATATCATTTGTAGGGTTTTTTTTCTATAATTTCTTTGTGGTAAGAACATTCAGAATCTCCTCACAGCTCTTTGAAATATATAACGCATTAATACTAACTTTAGTCATCTTGCTGTACTATGAAACAGTGGAGCTTAGTCCCCTTATCTCATTGTACTTTAGTGCTGTTTCTGTTTGTTGGTTGGTTGGTACCAGGCATTGAACTTAGGACCTTGTGCTTCCCAGGCAGGCACTATGCTGCAGAGCTATATCCCTGGCCCTATTTGTTACTGTTAGACAAGCCTCTTTTTTTGGTTGGTTTTTTTTCCAGAGCCTCACTATGCAGCTTGGACTTGTAGTATCCTCCTGTTTTCTGCCTCCCTAGTGCTGGGATTACAGGCGTGTGCCACCACACCCAGACTCTTTTATCCTGCCCTCCCCTGCTCTCTTTCCAGACTCCAGTTAGCACTATTCTTCTCCCATCTTCCGAATATGAGTAAGAATGTGCAATATTTTTCTTCCTGTATCTGGCACATTTTCGTTAAAATGAATGAGTTTTCCAGGCGCATTCATTCATGTTGCCCCTGGATGTCAGTTTCCTTCTCCTAATTTACAAATGTATGGTACAAAAAGAAGTATTGTGTGGAGGTCTTAGATCTTAGATCTTTTTTGTTAAATTGATTGCAAATATTTTCTACTCTTGATATGTGATGATCTGATTTTTTAAATGAGCTTCTTCTGTATCTTATGCTTCTCTAGAATATAGGAAATCTAAGAAATCAAAGGAAATGCTCATTGAGTTTCAAGTTCTATTAGGATGATAGAACTAACTCGTAAGTAATGAGGCAATCAGAATGTATTAATAGGTCCCATATGCTGGGATTAAAATTATCTGCTTAGTACTAGAATTAAGCTGTAAGGCAGAATCTAGTAGTTAGAGTACAGCAGGTAGTTTTGATCCAACTATATTAGAAAAAGGATGTCTTTTAAAATTCTTATTACCTTGAGATTCTAGTTTAAGTTGAACTGTACGTAGAAAAAAAAAAAGAGGAGATGGCAAAATAGTTGATCCTATGGGCATGAATCTGACATTTGAGAAAAGGACTTTTTAAGGGACAAGGAATTCTTTTTAGGAAAATGTTTTTGTTGTATTTTGATCTTGTTTATTAATTGAAACACTCTTATAAATTAACTTTTTAAAAAAAATTTCATGTATTTGGTATAAGGTTCACTATGCAGCTCAGATTCATAGTGATCCTCCTGTTTTCAGCCTCCCCAGCATGGGATTACAGGTGTGTGCCACCACGCCCGAACTCTGATCCCTGCACCTGCCTGAGCAGATAAATTATCTTAAATATTGCAGAAAGTTATGGTCTTTTCTCCTTATTTTCATTTGGTTGTAATAGTTACCTTCTTCAGCCATGTCAAAGCTTTGTTATTAGGGTCAGTAGTTAAAGGTTCCAATAAATGGTGAAAACTTGTTAAACAGTTATTAAATGCTAATAATTGTTTGAAATAAGCATTGAAAGGCCTTGAGAAATCCTGGCCTCTTGCTGCTCATTACAACTCGGGATCATTTTGTTCCAAATTAATTTTTCCCACAGGAAGAGAAAACTGGTCAGAGGCCATCTGAAGCCAAAGAGATAAAGCTGTATGCCCAGATTCCCCCGATAGAGAAGATGGACGCCTCCTTGTCCACACTTGCCAACTGCGAGTACGCTTGCTTGCTTGCTTGCTTGCTTTTGTTCTTTTAGTGTTGCTAGCAAGTTTTCCTTCCTCTGCTAAACACTCAAACTATGAAGCATTTGTTTTCTGTGATTTTAATGCATGTATTTTTCTTGGTTTATTGTAAGTTCCTTTTGGAAAAACCAAATGTGAACGATTATTGCTTTATAAGATTATAAATAGAGTAATAGTGCACAGTAAAGTTTTTTCTGTGCAATTTTTTATATTATATTTGAAAATAGAGGGCCAGGGAGATGGCTCAGTAGAATAAGTGCTTTCCTGGCAAGCGTAAGGGTCTAAGTTCAATCCCCGGTTCTGCCAAAAAAAAAGAAAAAGAAAATAGATTTCCTAGTCTTTTGGAAGAAGCTAAGTAACATAATAAATCTTACTCTGACATTAAGTCTGTTGCCTCCTCTTATGAAATTACCCATAGAGTCAGAACTACTTATTTATTTGATACCTAAGACAATCCTAATTTTTTAAAAAATTCTCAGTTCAAATTATACTTATTTTGTAATCCTATTATCTGTGGCATTAAGTATCAGATCTCTCTCTCTCTTTTTTTTTTACATTTTAGGACAGGGTCTACAGAGTCTACAGTCTCACTGTGTAGATCAGACTCCTAGTGATCCTCCTGTTTACAGCCTCCCAGTCGCTGGGCGTGCGCCCAGTCTCAATTGCCGGCTTAGTGCGCCCCGGGGGCAGGGCCAGCATGGCAGGCCTGGGGATGAAGCTCCCCGGGGGCAGGGCCAGCATGGCAGGCCTGGGGATGGAGCTCCCCGCCCCTGCATCTGCCTAAGCAGGCGCTTCAATCCACTGAACTGTTTGGCCAGCCCTTGTACCAGATCTATACTGATTCATTTTCATTTATTTTCTAGGTACTATACAACAATTTTAGCAGGATTTGGTGGCTAAATTGAGGCAGTTATGCTGTGACACCTTCTAGCCGTGTTTTCACGGTCCCGTACCTCTTCTAAGGGCTGTTCTCTCTGTCTTCTGGTGTTTCATACACACTGGGATGCTTTTTTGGCTTAAAACATGCTTTTGAAGTACTGATGAACCTATGGTGCCTTTGTTTTAAGACAAAGATGTTAATGTATGGTTATTTTTTCTAAACTAAAATCTCAGTATTCAAGTTTAATTGGAGTGTTGTCATTTTGCAATAAATAGGTGGGTTTTGGGTTGCACTTTGAGTGCTCATCTTTTAAATTATTTTAAAGTATTCAATACCATTTTATCGTAAAGTCATCTCACAGGGAGATGTAAAGTTTGATTTTCCATATCAAAGTACCTTACAAATCACTTAAAAAGAGTCAAACTGTTGAGTTCGACCCCTGGTACCACCAAAAAAAGAAGTCAAACTGTTTACATTTGTGTTGACCCTTTTTTGGTGAGCTTCCTAAACAGAATTAAAGAATTCTTTCCTAATCATATTACTAGATGTAAAAGGAGTCCATTTTGTGCTGGTGTTCTCAGGAGTTGGGATGACTAAAGGATAGACAGATTCACCCAGGTCCTTGCAGTCTGGAGTAACTTTTTCCTGTTTCCAGCAGGCAAAACTGAGTAAGACACATGAGTGTCACACGTAGCTGGGCTTGCTCGCGGCCCCGGCCCTTCGTGGCTGGTGGTGTTGGAAAATCGCTGAGCTTCTTTGTGCTTAAGATTCACTTGTAAAATATAAATAAAAATAATACTGATCTCAAAAGACTGAGATAACCAAAATAGTTAATACATGTGAAGTATATGGATGACTACTTGGACATACATTAAGTATTCAACAGGATTAGCCTTTCTTAGCATGAACTTTACTGAGATATTAAACATTTTAATCCAGAAAAGATGATAAAGAATGTATAATTATATTCCCTTTAAATATTATGATTTTACATAATTAAATATAGATAGAATGATATATACAAAGTATTAAAAATAAATATCTCTGGTGGAATGTGTGGACCAATTAGGATTGTACTTTTTTCAATATACATTTCTAAATGATTTTACAAATGAAAAAATATAGCCCCACAAATGCATATGCATATTTCTGGGATATTGTCCTAAGTCAGTACCTATAGTCCAATCCTCTCTCTCTCTCTCTCTCTCTCTCTCTCTCTCTCTCTCTCTCTGTCCGTCTGTCTCTCTCTCTCTCTCTCCCCTCTGTCTGTCTGTCTGTCTGTCTCTCTCTCTCTCTCTCTGTCTGTCTGTCTGTCTGTCTGTCTGTCTCTGTCTCTCTCTCTCTCTGAGACAGGCTCCTGCTATGAAGTTCAGGCTGGCCTAGAACTCACTATGTAGCCCAGGCTGGCCTCAAACTCATGGCAATCCTCCTGCTCAGCCTCCCCAGTGCTGGGATTACCAGCATGTGCCACCATACCCAGAGAATATTTTTATTTTTTTATTTTTTTGCCACAATTTTATTGATAAACAAATAGCAATGAGACAGTTTCAAATCAAATCGGTAGGACAGTTTCAATAATTAACACACTGCATACCCAGAGAATATTTTTATAATTAAAGAGGAAAAATGATTTCAAAAATGAAAGGATAAATTCCAAAACAAAAGAGAAAAGAGGATTTATTGTCAAAAAGAAATATGACAAGTGTTTGCATTGTATTATACAGAGTTTCTGATGTGCAATGTAGGTTTTTCATATTAATTCCATTTTTTCTTTGTTCTTTCAAAGGAAGCTTTCACTGTCTACAAATTGCATTGAAAAAATAGCAAACCTGAATGGCCTAAGTAAGTAATCCACATTAATAGATTTTAAATTTTTTCTAGTTACTCGAATAAATATTCCAGAGACATTATGCAATTCCAGAAATAGGCTTCTGTTCTAACCACCATAATTGTCAGATGGCAGGATAAATATATAAGCCATGTGTTCTTAAATTTGATTATCCAAAAAAAAAAAAAAAAATTAAGAGCTTACATGAGATTCAAACATTTTAAAGACCTTTTAAAGCTTTCTATAGAATTAAAATCGAGATGACTTAAATAGAAAA